CGGCTCCCTGTTAACTCATACTCTCCGTTCTGTAGAATCTCTTCATTCCCTGTCTGGGAAGGTGGGCGACTTAAAATCTGTACTCCTATTCCGAATGCGTCATCAGTTTAATCACTTTCGGCATTATTCATTCTGAATCGAATCGTTCAATTCATCAACTTACTCATCAAATACTGGAAAAAGCATCAAAATTAATGTATTACAGTATTAAATTTTGTAACAGTAGCGATGTTCCAGGAACAGTTTTTGGAATTAGAGGAGAATCTCGAGAAAGTGCTACTTAAATAATAAAGTTTCTGAACCAGACACAGCAAGAAGTCCGTAAAAAGAACTGATAACTAACTGATGATCGAAACGATACCGGCACTAATAAGCAAGGCGCTCTGAGGTACAGCGTACTAGTACCGGTACCATACATGTACTTTGTACAATAACAGCTCCTAATTTCATCATTTCATCGATACATCCCTTCTCGCAAAAGCGGACCGAGAGAAATCCAAGAGTTCAGAGCACCTTAGCCGACAATGGATCGCCCTGGAAATCACAAAACCACCGGCCGAAGGAACGGCGACAATCAAGATGAAACTTCGGAGGCAGCAGAGGTGGAGCAGCAAAATGGCAGCATTCATGCGGAAGATCCTGAAGACGACGACGACGCTGCCCTGATGGAGGTTTTGCAACGTCGATCAAGGTTGGCTCAAGAAGAGCGAAGACAGCACCAAAGTGAACAGACTGCTGTCGACGTAGAACCAGGAAACAAGGTCAGCAGTCGGAGCTCGCAAACATCCACAGTCGCAGAGGATGTTGAGGTCGAAGAAGAAAAAGAGCATCCACAAAACAATGGAGTCGGTATTGAATTGAACGGCCTATTTGTCGACTACAGCAAAGATAAGAAGCTCGATGGTAACGCAGCCCTCGGCATTTCACTCGGGGCAGACCAGTGCATATCAGAGAACGTTCCGGATGTCAATGCCAACGCTACGCAGGAGAGTCTTCCAGGTGCGTATGCATGCGACGGAATCCCAAGCAATGAGGAGGGGAGTGGGGAATCAGTGGATGAAGAACATGGAGTCCTCCTGGACACTGCTACAGCTCCTATGCGTGAACCTCAACCAGAAACTCCAATGGTGCTCGAGGCACGCCTGGCACCTACAGCCTCGTCATTCAGAACTCCAGTTTCTGCTGCGGTTGAACATTGTAACGACGATGTCATTGAAGCTGTCACATCTCCAACAGGAGAGAACAACCAAGCATTGCCGTTACTAGGTATATTGGTGCTACTGGCGGTGGTGGTCCTGATGGTCGTGGGCCTCACAGGCGCCTTCACATCGGATGACAGCAACCCTTCAACCCCCACCAAACTTCCAGCTGGAGGCAAAAGCAGCATAGGCAACCTGACAAGAATGGAGAGAATCCAAGAGGCAGGGGTGCTTCGATGTGGCTTCAATGTGGATCGTGCTGTGACTTACTTTGATGAGACAGGTGAACTTGTGGGCTTTGACCCCACCATGGTATGCAGCTGTTGTTCTTTCTGTTATGGCTTTCCTGCTGCAATGAGCACTAACAACTTCCCTTGCCCTGGTCCATCTGACAAACAGTGCCGGATTTTTGCATCAGCCATGTCTGTAGAGCCAGAGTTTGTGCCAATGGAAGATGGTCAGAGGTTCCCTGAGATAGTCAATGATGCATATGATGTTTTGATTCGAGGGGTTACACACACTATGGAACGCTCGATTCATGAGGTATGTAGAGAACTTCATTGATGGGGGGATCTGATCTGCCATCGGTGCACTTATTATTCTCGATGTTGAGCAACGCAGGCAACCACCAAGGCAGGCATTGCATTTTCCGTTCCCTATCTCTATGAGGGAGTCAAGCTGGTAAGTTTTCCAAGAGCAAAGGGTAACACTCTTTCAGAATGCACGTGTTAGCTCAACCGCAGCTTCTCCTTGCCTCCCTGCTGTAAACTAGGCTGGAGATCCCTTCTATGTTGACCAATGTGCCAACAAGAACCTGAAACATATTGATGAGTGTACGGGAATCAGAGTTTGTGTCTTTGGTCCTGACACAACGCATTATCGGAACTTGGCTGGGATACTGCCAAAAAGGTTCTTGGTGCCAGTTGCGGCAAACCAAGAGATAGGATCCCCACTTGAGGGTCTTGTCAATGGCACTTGCAATCTTCAGGGGAACGGGATTGTGGCCGAAAAGATAGCAAGGGAAGCAGGGTATAAAGGCCCTTATCACGTTGGCAAAGACATCTATTCAAAGGATCCTCTTGCCATTGTCACACATTCAGAAGATCCAGAGTTTTCTGACTTTGTCCAGAGCATCCTTCGTGCTCTCTTAGCTGCCGAATTCTATAACATTACGAGAGACAAAGCTTCCATCTTTCCAGAGACACATGTCTTTGGAGAGCAATACAAGCATGCATTCCAGAAAGCTCTATCAGTTGGAGGGCATTTTGGCACCTTGTATGCAAAGTACTGGGAGGAACTGATCCCCCGAAGTTCTCTGAACTTCATCAATGATGGGAACACAGGCCTTCTGTATTCGCACCCGCTGGGAGACTTGTTACATGACAGAGGTGATCGCCCTCTTGGGCACCGGCTACAAAGCATTCTTGACAGGGGTGTGCTCAGGTGTGGCATCAGGTTGGGTCGCCCAGGTTTTGCCAGCCTGAGTGAAACTGGCAGAATTGAAGGCATGGATGTTGATTATTGCAGAGCCGTAGCAGCAAGTCTGTATCAATCCGATGACGAGGCTATTGAGTTTGTGGCACTGGAAGAGCCATCTGATGGGTACTCGAAACTGGCCACTGATGAAATTGATGTTGTAGCAGGTGCTACTCTTACCCTCGAAAACGATGTTCGAGAACCAGCTACTGGGTTGGGATTTGCCTTCACTCAGCCATATTATTTTGGCTTCAGTGAAAGTGAAGATAACTTTTGTTTGGCAACCATGCAGGATGACAATGACTGGGCCATGTTTACCTATTGGGTTGTTGCAGCAACATTCTATGCAGAGGAGAGCAGCATCAATTCAACGGTTTCAAATAGGATGCCGGAGGTCCGGTTGTTCGGACGTAATCTGAAACGATTCTTTCGGGACCCAGTCTTGATGGTGGGTAGCTATGCTGATATTTACAAACGAAATGTGGAACCTATCATTCCTCGCGGGGGGCGGAACATGCTGAATGCCTACCCAGACCTTGGCCCTCAGCACTACATTGTTCCAGGGTTTGTGTGACTCTGCGGTATTTACATGCCCCCAAGTCTTCTACGCTTTTGAAATCAGTTCCACCGTTCCAGAAGACACCATGGCTTTGTCGGTGGAATGCTAAACGGACCACTCGATACCGATCCCAGCCACCAAGAGACTTATGACATATCCAAAGATATATCTCTTCCATTTTCCTTTACAGCAGCATTTTAAAGGAACCAGTGGTGGTCTGTGGTCTATTCCAAGAATTCAAAAAATGACACTCAGAGAGGGGAGAGAATGGTAGCTGGAGTAAATCTTTAATATTCACGATAAACAAATGCTCTATCTCCTGGAATCTCCGCTGGTTTGACAATCTTGATCCTGTCATTAGAGCGTCCATTTGCCGACTCACTGGATCATTCCTCAACCCATCCATTGAAAAGAATCGCGAGGGAAAATGCGGGATGCTGAGGTATTCCGGACGCTCTAGTTTGATGCTCGGGAAGTGATGTTGGCCAAAACAAAGAACCCAAGCTCAAATCAAGCCATACTTCTTTAGAACCATTCAATTGAATCATATCTTTGACAATGTCGAACGAGAGTACTACCCGAGATGATGAGCCAATAGACTTGATGACAGTACCGGTGGGATCTGCAGTTGCGGATGATCAGGATGGTGTGGAGGATGCCGTCCCTCCGACGGATCATAATCAAGATCCCAATGATAGGAAATTGACCCGACAATACAAGTCGACCATGGAGGCGTGGGAACACCTTCGAGCAGCTGAAAAGATGGACGACTCAATGATGCCCGTCTGTCCCCAACACGCGCGTCATTCCATTTACAGTTTCAAGGCAACAGGACATACGTGTCATGACTGCGCCGAGAGAGATCGAGACCACATGAGGACGTATCGAAAGTTGGCTCAAGAATACCCCAACATTTACTCGTGGTACTACCTGGATCCCAAAGACGTTCAATATCGATGGCATAAGGACATTGTGCTGCTCTGTTTGGGCATATCCGTCCAGGTCATGGTTCCAGTGGCAATTGCCATTCAACTGAGACAAGACTTGGAAGAAGCTCAGTATGGCTTGTGTCGACACACCGACGAGTCCAAGGGTTTTGGCAAATTCTTGGCCATGATTCTCAGTGTCTACTTTGGAGTGGTCAGCATGATTAATTTTCTGGGCAAAGTTCGAGGAAATGCCTTTTTACTATATTTTTGTACACCCATTGGCGAGCAACGACGACACATTCTGATTGCCGGCTTTTGCGCTCAATTCCTGGGAGCCGTGGCTGCCAATATTGCGCAGTATTTGCTCTTTGTGATTCGTGGACAAGATGATTACCTGTTGCTGCTGTTTACCGCCTTAACCATGCAAGCTACGTTGAATGCCGACAGTTCCAATTTGATATCGCCGTTGACTGGTGAAAAGGTGGCCATGATCATTGATATGGTGTTTTCGGATGACAATCTGTCGCTGGGGCAGAAAGGCGAGCCACTTGGCGAGGACTTGTCCACAATGCTACACATGTTTCGAATAGTTTACAACGGCTTGGCGCTTTTGATGGGTGCCTTTAGCCTGTTTCTGACGGTTGCGGTGACCTACTGCATCTAAGACAGGCCCCAACAACATTGTTTGGAAAGACTCTTTCTTTGGTGCAGAGCTTTGAACTGTACTTCGAAAAAGAAAAAGTGCAACAACGTGTACGGTACCGGTACTATAGTAGTTGGGGAGGAATAAGTCAAGACAATAGCAACGTTCCAGCCTAGCCTCTACATGCCTGGTCAAGTTTGATGGTTAAAAATTTGTCCGTTCCAGTTCAGCAGTTTTTTAAAAAACTGTGCTTGCGATGTTATAACAGATCAGCTTTGTGGAGTTCTTGCTTCATTTCCTGCAGTAACCGTAGCACAATATCCTTACTGAGCCCCACGACCGAGTCCTCGGTTCCATCGATTCGTTCAATATTGGCTTTTACCAGTGGATGTTCCACCTCCGGACAACTGAGGATGGGTCCCTCTTGTTTCAGCAACCCATCGACCAGATCGTCCCCCGAGAATTGATTTTTGAAATGCACCGTAGCAGTATCCACTCCAGCCCACTGGGGACATGTGTGAGGACACACAATCTACAGTACTGGGTGGATGGGTGGGATATTGATGTGGTGTTTTCAGATGACAATCTGTCGCTGGGCAGAAAAGGTGAACCACTTGGCGAGGACCTGTCCACAATGCTACACATGTTTCGAATCGTGTACAACGGCTTGGCGCTTTTGATGGGCGCCTTTAGCCTGTTTCTGACGGTTGCGGTGACCTACTGCATCTAAGACTGGCCCCAACAACATTGTTTGGAAAGACTCTTTCTGTGGTGCAGAGCTTTGAACTGTACTTCGAAAAAGAAAAGTTGCAACAACGTGTACTGGTAGTTGGAGAGGAATACGGCACGACAATAGCAACGTTCCAGCCTAACCTCTACCGTACATGCCTGGTCGGTCAAGTTTGATGGTCGGTTCAAGTTCAGGTACATGCATTTTAAAAACTGTGCTTGCCTTGCTATAACAGATTAGCTTTGTGGAGTTCTTGCTTCATTTCCTGTAGTAACCGTAGTACAAGATCTTTACTGAGCCCCATGACCGAGTCCTCGGTTCCATCAATTCGTTCGATATTGGCTTTTACACTGGGATGTTCCACCATCAATCCTCCGGCACAACTGAGAATGGGTTCCCCTTGTTTCAGCAATTCATCGACCAGAGCATCCCCCGAAAAGGTATTCTTGAAATGCACCGTAGCCGTATCCACTCCAGCTACTTGAATCCCACTGGGGACATGTGTGAGGACACAGGATCCTACCGTACTGGGTGGATGGGTGGGATACTGCGATACAAATTGTTTGGCCTCGTCGACACTCTCTGGTTTTTCCAATATTTTCCCGTCACACGTGACGACTTGATCACCCGTCAATACAATCCATTCTTTTGGCGTGTTAGGAGGCAAATCGTCGTCACAACGCCCGGCTTGGATTTCTTGTACGAGATGATCCGCCTTTGCTTTTCCCAACGTCATGACGAGATGTGCGGGTGGATCTTGGGTCCGATCTCCCAAATTCTTTTCGTCAATGGGCCGTACGACAATGTGAAAGGGAATATTCATTTCTTTCAAAATCAATTTGCGGGTAAAGGAGGCCGATCCCAGGAGAATGGGAGACGGCAATCCTTCCAGTGGATTGTTATTATTGTTTTCTGTAGTAGTAGTAGATGTAGTAGTAGTAGTAGAGGACATGATGTGGATATGGCTTTTTCGGGTGAGTCTTGTTGTTGTTGCTGCTGGGGGAACAATAATGGGCAGCCAACCAAAAGAGGAAGTGACCAGTAAGGACGCCAGCAGAGAAACACGCGGTAAGAGTAGAGACAGGGTGTTGTAGCGGCGGCTCGGAATAGTAACAAAGATGACCATGGCCAACATAAATGTCATGGGCATCGATCTAGCTTCGTCGAGGTGTTTCGGAAATCGGCTCAGGCAATGACTGTTGATGGACAGACGCCTGTATCTTTGGTGGATCTTTGGGATCTATCCTCTCGCTCACCGTCAAGAAATTTGCCAGTTGCTTCTAAAGTTCAAAGTAGTTTTGTCTAAGGTCAAAGAGGGTTGAGCAATCCTTTCGAGAGAGTGGCGCGAGACAGAGAGAGCTACTGTAACCAACCCAACCCTACTCTACTCTATCTATCCTTATTAGTTAGTCTAGTGAGAAGACCCTGACAATCGACAATAATGAAGCCCCAAAAAGCCACAATAACCACCAAAACGCATCATTTTTTCTTGTTTCGACATTGCGTTCGATCGACGCGGCTTCATGTGAAATTGCGCGATGAACACAATAGTTCGAACAATGTGAACGATTACCTTTCGACAACTACTACTACTACTAGCGTCCCAGATTGGGGTGTGCCGGAAAAATGGTGTACCGAAAGTGCCATTACCATGGTGGAGAACATGGGCCGTTGGCTGGCCACGCAAGGGTTGCTCAAGAACACTGTCGCACAGCGTGTCCAATTCCAAGTCATTGCCGACAGTTCCACTCAACGAACGGTGGATACGGCGTGGGCGCTCATGAAGGGGTTGGCGGATGGATTTCAAAGTCGCAATGACAATAATGATGTCAATGGCAATGGCAATGCCACAACACCGGAGACTAGTACCGGTAGAATCATTGTGGAAGGATTGGGACACGTCTTTTACGACCCATGGTTGTTTGAACCATACAAAAAGGATCCATTCTTCTTTCCCAAGGAGGAGCCACCACCACCAAACGACACTCCCAACCAGAAGGAGAAGAAAGATGATAGCCAGCAACCAGGACTCTGTTCTGCCAATTATACACGCAAAGAACTCAAACAATGGATCAAACAGCGACTTGCCAATCTACCACCTCCTTCGTCCATTCCCGACGCGCTCGAGTTCTTTATGAATGTTGCCGGTATGGGCACGGCAGGCAACTTGACGGAACGATTTCCCTCCCAACCCAAAATGGCACACGATCTCAAACACATGGAAGGAGCTCCGGCGTTGCTCAAACACATGGCACAGCTCGCCTTTTATTCCAGAGCCGGAAATGCCTCGCAGATCTTTTTGCCACACATGACCAATGCTGAACTCTATCAAAGACTCTTGCCATGGGTATACTGGACACGGGATGTGGCACAAATCAACAATCCAAGAGAAGCCACCTTTGGAGCTGTTTGGGCGCGTGCCTTGGCGTTGATATTGGACCAGGGACATCTTCATCGTACGACAGATGAGGATGAGGATGCAAACAGCCTAACCACGGTGACTATTGTGGTGGGACACGACGGAGACTTGGATGCCATCGCCACAGCCTTGGGAGTGCGGTGGAAGGCTCCTCCGCCGTATCAACCCCAGTCCGCCGAATACCTCGTGACGCCACCCGTTTCGGGCATTCATGCCAAGCATACGATTCGTACTGGCATTCCAAATCGCATGGACATGAGTTTTCTCTGTCCCGTCTATTCCATGCTGGAAGATGATGAACAGGATGATGCTTGGGTTTGGAACTCGTCGGGGATTTTGGAACAATCACCCTTGATATGGCGTAACAGCAAGACTGCTGCTCGCTGGAAAACAAGCTCCGATGGCGTGTCTACGTATTTGGAGGGAGAAAATGTGATTGATTCATTACAGCAGCAAGTTCTCCAAACGCTAGCTCCCTACACGGGTGCCACGACATGTTGGGAGGCAACGGAGAGCTTTCTTCTCCAACAAGAACAAACGCTACCGCCGTTGGGCTCTACTACTAGTATGCTGGCAACTTCCTTGGCGATTGTTGGATGGAGTTTGCTTGGGCTTTGTGCTGCTGCTTGGTTCTGGACTCGGCGACGACTTGGGGGCAGCGCATATACAGGAATCCAAAGTCACGAGGATGATGATGAGGGGGAAGGGGTGTTTGAGGACAGTGCAAGCTCCAAAGTGAATGGAAGCTTGCAACTTGCCGAATTAAGCTAGAGGATTGAGTTTTTCAAAATCAAACAATCCGTGTAGTCCATTTTTCCTTGCGAAGTTCCAAAGGTTTCAAGTTAGCCTAGCTGCGGCGCAAGAAGTGCAACTTGTGTACGGAAACCTCCAAAGCGGCCTCCTTCTTCTCCTTTCCTGCCGCCAAAGCACCTCCTTTGCCCCAACCTGGGATTTCCCTCCCGAGTACACCAAACGTTCACTTACTAGCTAGTCTACTGGTAGCGAGACGCTTCATTCTAGATACATGTACTAGCTAGTACCCCTCGTAAATTAACGTTTGGCCTGGCGGTAGCTGGCTTAATAGCAATAATAATGCCACAAATCTTTGTGTGGATATTTTTCGCACGAATGAGGCGCCGTGCCAGGTGCTGATCACGATGAACTAATCGATATCGGTACCTTTGTCAATCTCTGCCGGATGGTAGTCGCAGCGAATGCTTGAAGCATCCAGCAAGCTTTCAAAACAGTTCGACACATATATAAAGAGCAAAAAACTTTGGTTTTATGTAGAATGAATCAGCTGCCATGAACATGAGAGCCCCCGAAATGAAGTTGCCGCAAACCTTCCCAACACAGGATGCTGAAAAGGGTGATCGCCTCCGTTGGCGATATTTGGCCGTGTCCCTGTTTGGCTTTTTGTTTGTGAGTATGGGAATTGTCAATGACAACCAGCTGCTTGTTCAGTATCAAAGCCAGACTCGAAAGCTCGAAGTAGAAGATCAATTGTCGCAGCATCCAACTAAGGAGAACATCGAAGGCAAGGAAGACGACATAGCTACTAGTTCCAGGCGCCTGTTGAAAGAGTATCAAGCGATAGAGCAAGATGACAAAGATCTCATCAAGAAAGATGAATCGCTAACTCAAGGCTATCCAATCAAATGCTCTCCATGGGAGACCGACATGGATCCCTGGTGGCAAATGCATCCGGACTGGGAACCGTACAATGAGAATGAAACGCATACCTGCTTTCGCCCGATCCAACATGAAGAGAGAGCAGCTTTCTTCCGAGAAGTGTACCAAAGCCAATACCATGGGATGGACTGTTCTCAGGTGAGGACACGACACATTACTGGAGTGGGATATGCTGCAGCCGTCGGTTACATGTGCGGTGGATTCTACAGCGCCTTTCGGCAGGGGTATCCCTTTCAAGTGACCAAAGTTCGCGAATCGATGCGCTGGCTGTACGCGCCACCTTTGGATCCATCTCCTGGGACAAACCGCTCATGGGCAGCTTGTCCATCACAAGACAACTTTTGCTACTTCCTTCCCATTTCCAATTGCCAACGAGAGTGGGGGCGATCGGAAGACTCCGTAAGCAGAAAGTACGCTCGACGTGAAGTACGAGACAACCCCGTCCGAGGTGAGCAATACATGTGGCTCAAGTCTTATTTGACAAGACCTCGACAGGAAGTCCGGCGACGTTTGGCGGAATTGATACAACAAGAGGCACCAGTGTTGGATCCTTCTACTCCTTGCGTGTGGATCCATGTTAGGCGTACAGACGCAATGTCTGAATTCAGGAATCTTCGCAACTTTTATGGCCTGAATGAATATTTGGAACGAGGCAATGTCTCAGCTGGGGACAACATCTTACTACTTACCGACGACCAAACCACGATCGAAGAGGCCCATTTACTATACCCTGAATACAAGTGGAACTACTGGAATCGAACACGCTACAGAGGTAGACAAAAGCGAAATTCACAGTGAGTACCCACATTGCAGTCTTCTCTTTGATTCTTTTTGAAATCGTTTCCAACGCTGACTTTTCGTACTATATCTGTGGTACTGTACAGCATTCCTTCCGATGACCAAGCGAGAGAGATGTTGATCATCTTGGCCGAGTTGCAGTTGGCCGGCCAATGCACTAAAGGAGTGCACGGGACGAGCAACATGGTGGGTATGCTTCAAGCAGCCATGGCCTTGGAACACGGTATGGCCAACATTGAACTGATATCCATTGATGGAGACCTCAAAAAGGAACGTGTCCCTGCCGAAGAATTCTTGAAAGATCTCGAGGCCAAACTGAAGGCTGCCCGTAACGCAGTACTTGCATGATTCATGTTTATTGTGTAGAGAAGCAGAAGTCAAACTTGTTCCCTAGCTAGTGACGGTATCTTTGTGTCCGGCTCTAGCTAGACTGATGGTGCATCGCAGAAGTCTTGACACAAGCTCGCTAGACTGACCATCCGGCCAACGTACTCTACTAATAGTAGCCCTTTGGAACATCATGATGCCAAAGGATCAGACCCAAGTGGCGACCATCCCGAGCCACTCACTTTGATCGGTGGGAAGCCATGCTTAGCCATTGCTGCTTCTGGCAAAAGCTTGTTGATGGACTCAGCAGCTTAACCAGTCGAATGCAAGTGTTCAACCAACACTATTCCGCCCTCTTGCTTTCCCAAGACAGTCAACAGTGACTTTCCCGCTGGTCGTGCAATTGATGTCCAACCAGCAGTGCATAATTTATCTGATGGCTGCTCGAAAGACATCATAGGCCACGAGCAAGAGTGCCCCACTGACCGATCTCAGAATATTGGGTCCCAGTCCCAAAAAGAATCCTCGAATGCCTTCAGTCTTAGTAACCACATAGATGCAATGAATTGAGTTGTGATACAATCGCTCAGAATGAGGTTTTCCAGCTTGCATCATGAGTCTTCTCCTTACTGAATCCAAGGGATAACTGATTGTACCTGCTGTCAGACTAACAGTTTGGGCAATCAATATTCGTTGTCCCCAGGTGAGAGATGATTGATTGTCATGTAATTCTGGTGATTGCTGTTGTTTGTTGTGTCGATCTGTTTCAGATTTCAAGACATCGTAACCTCCCAGCAGCAGGATCCTGTAGAAAATTCCGCCAAAGAGAGCAATGCCATATCCTTGGTATAATCCTGTAATCCCATCAGTGCGTAGAATGGTGGTAAGAGCATGGCCCATGCCTTGGAATTGATACTGCCCTTTCTGCTTTCCCTTGGTCAGATCGGCTGCCAATCGAGTTCTCAAAAACTCAATGGGATACAAAATGGTTGTGGAGGTTCCACCGGCCAGCCCCCCTGACACCAAGGAGGTGACATTTTTGCGTCGTCGTTCCAATTTGTCTGGACTGAGCGATGTTTTGCTGGTAATTAACTGAGAGTTCATTATGGGTTGAACAGCTTCCTTGTAATAGTTCATGCAGGAAAAATTGATGGCAGCAGTTCCAGACACTCTCATGACACTAAATGAAGCAGAATGATGAGAAATCAATTGATGGACCAACAGGCACCGTAGCAAACAAATGGTAACATCAAGTTATCCAACAAAACAACTTACCTGGGCACGTTGCCCCTCCAAAAACTGAGAATCCCTTCATTGACATAGATGGATTTGGCCAAGTGCCAGGCATTTTTGGGCTTCTCATTGTTCTTCAGGGAATGTTGGAGCTGCAATAACAGCTTAAGGCGTTCTATGGGAGCTGTTACAGTCTTGGAAAAGGCTCCAGCACCAGCTCCTGCGGCAGCATCTCGCCAAGAAGGAGCTGACCTTTGGGTCTTTTTGTCAGCGGATGACATGGCCTCTCTGCAACAACTGTGCTACCTACCATGCATAGAGGAGCGATAGAACTTGATCTGTTGTGCACGTGGGCAATGCACGGTTTTGGGATTGACAAGAGAACACGAAACGTCAGAAGTCAGAAGTCCGCATTAAGCCAGCAGAAGTGCAAAAATGATGCAGGCTACAATACTACCGGTAGATAGAAAGTTACTTTGCAGTGATTTTGGTAAGCTAGCTATCTAGTATCCACGCTGATCCACGAGCCGCCAACTTACTTGACCTTATCTTCCCGTTCATAACAGGTAAGTTCTTGCTTTTTGCAAAGCTTCCAGATAGTCGTAATGAATGATCAGACCAAGAACGGATCTGTACCGCCACTTCTCAAGGTCAAGGCGCCAGGCTGTTGCCAGAATCTTTCGGGATGTTGTGCCGATCTCAAAGCAAGAGACTGAGGTTGGGAGTGAAAGGGCCCGAAATCAGGATTTTAAGAATCCAATTAAATTGATCAATTCCAAACCGAAATATAAAACCGAAATCAAAATATAAAACCGAAACCAAAATATAAAACTGAAACCAAATTACTATGGTAAATAACTATTGAAATCAAGCCGAAACCTAAATATAAAATCGAAACCTAAATATAAAACCGAAACCAAAATATAAAATCGAAACACAAGTATAAATCGGAATTTGGTGTAAATCGCCATTTCGGGCCCTTTCAGTTGGGAGCTGATGGGAGTTGGAGTGTTTTCGCTGCGACGTTGTCACTAAAACGGAAGTAACGGAGTATTGATGACAATACTCGAGTACTAGCTAGTATTAATTAATAGTACGGTACTGATTATTACTTCTGAGTTGTACTGTATTAAAATACTGTACATGTACCGTTACTGGAAACTAATTCCTCAGGAACACTCACGATAAAAGACTTATTAGTCTGAATGACCCTATAAAAAGCCTCTAAGTCATATAGCCTAACACTCCTTAATCGTGAATGTCGGAATTCTGAACCGATGTCGGAAAATGTCGGCGTTTGTACGAGAATGTCGGCGTTTGTACGAGAATGTCGGCAAAATGTCGGAAGGTTTCTCAGCGAGTTTCCGACATTCACGATTACCCCTAAATCATTCCGAATGAAAGAACTTCAGTCGTGTGGCATTCCGAATCAGAGTTCTTTCGCCCGTTCTTACATTAGTTATGATAGTAAAACGATATAAGACTCATTCAGCGAGTTTCTTCCGTTTTATTTATTGAGGGGTTAACCACTCTAATCGTGAATGTCGGCAAAATGTCGGCAGAATGTCGGAAAATGTCGGAAAATGTCGGCGTTTGTACGAGAATGTCTGAATTTGTCGGAAAATGTCTGCAATGTCGGCACTTTGTCGGAATTTGTCGGGAAACTTTCTTCTGTCATTTAGGCCATATGATTTAAGCGCTAAGCGGTCTTATATCTTTCAAAATGACATTATCGGGGGTGTTCCAGGCGGTATTTGCCCATTTGCCCTCTTTTTCTGCTGCCACGTATAAGGGATCAATAAATCCTTCACGACACTGGCTTTTTCTCATTTAACGAAGACGACTCTCAATCAACAGTATCCGGTCACAGCAAGATCCGGCATAGGTCACTCATTCCAAGCGTCTTCCCGCACGTCCAATGCAAACGGCCAGCACACAGCCAAGCGCCTCCAGCTTTCCCAGATTACTATTTGTTAGAGCACACAAAAAACACGATACGATGGCGCTCTACTACAACGAAAGGACAGGCAACGATGACGAGAAGAGGGGCCAAATGCTCAGTGAGTGGAAGCATCCTCAGAATAGGCGGTCTAGCTTGGCGCAAGAGGGAAGGACCATGTCTGATCCCATGATGCTTTGTGAAGACGACACCGACTCGGAGGACGAAGATAACGTGCTTTCCAAGTTTGGCACCAGTATGCGGAGTTTCTTTGCGGATGACAAGCATCTGCGAACGCCGCCTCCATTGTCGAAGCTTTACCCACAAGAAGAGACCAAAGAACAGGTCGACCTCGGCGTGGTCACTTACCTCGGAAAGCAGTACAGCGCCAGAGATGTCTTTGAACGTTGCAACAGTCGTCGGTCGCTCTCTTCCCAGAGTTCCAGTAGGACGCTTCAGTCGTTGGACGAGCAAGCTACTGATCTCCGTTCGTGTCTGGTTCGAGGACTCTCTAATCTCGTAGTAGGAGGAGGGGACGAGGCCAATAGTACTGCTTCCAGTCCCATGGCTGCCAAAAATCGAGCACAATCTCCACCACGGGAACGACCATCACAATCATCGAGACGAAATCGCCCAAAGATGAGCGAGGTATCAGTATCAGCGGATGGGTATGTCGAACGAGACGAGTATTTGGACATGCTGTCTGTGGATCAAGAGGATTTACTCGACCTTGCGGACGACCCCACGGACTTTGCGGCTCTCAAGTTGGCTCTAAAAAAGAATGGCGCCATTACCAATACCCTGCTACAACAAGGGCTTCATGTGTTTGTTCACAAAAACCGGGAGCTCAAGCAGCGCCAGTCAAAAAAAGATGAGAGTGCGCAGGAGGGGGCTGTTTCGGCGTAGAGTGGAAGATGGCACCGTGCATCTTTTTCGCCTTGTGCATGCATAACACTGCGTTATCCGTAACAGTACCGGTAGTAAGATTGGGAGTTGTCTCATAAACATGCACGCAAACCTTTTGGAAGGCGCACCTCCAGCTCTCTGATACTACATGTACCTGTAGCAATTGGGCTCCCACAAACGGTACCATCGATGTGAGGGGCCTCACGACCTCAGTTGCAGTACTGGTACCGAACCGTAGGCACAGCCTAACGTAGGAGACATTTGCCACCCGCACAGTAGTGTTGTCATCGGTGACTGTTTGGTGCATATTTGTTGGGGCTCTACTATGGTCCCACGCAACTGCCATCCCAGACCTGCTTTGGCCAAGCCAGGGCACCTACCAACCGTTATGGTGGGAGGGTGGTTGGTTGAGTAGTTAGTTTTACTCTGTAGCCAAGCTTTTCGCAGTGTAAGGATATCGTGAGACGGCACAGCTCGCATCGAAGAGGAAGGACGGCACCATAGTGCCGTCATATGTCCTGCTGGACGGGCGAGTTGGACTGGATCATTGCCTTCGCAAGTATCTATTTTGGAGGGCTACTACTACATGTATGCATGTATGTAGCTAGAAGAGTCTTACGATTCATTGACGCTTTTGCTAAATATAACTACACACTCTCAGTTTCCATTGCCGCAATAAGAAAGTCAGCCTTCAGCCTCCAGCCTCCATCTTCTGCCCCACCATCCACTCAGCTGCATCATCTGGCCCTTCTCCTTGCCACGCCACAGCCTTGTGGATGCGTGGCAGACCGGACATTCCTCTACCCTCCGAACTCGTGCATCAATGCTTTTGCAAAATGCTGGCAATTGTGGTCAATGAAATGATAGTCTGGGTTGTATGCTCCGCTTTCCATCCACCTTTTCACGTCGTCCACAATCGCACCAGCGCCGTTGCTCCTCTTGTATGGACGGCCAAGCGGAATCCCGTCTCCAAAAACATCTGTTCCTGGGGACCTGCCGCCTCCCTCCAAACCTTTATTGTCACACGCAGTCTCAGTGGAGAAAGGGCCGCGGAGTAGAATTCCAGTGCCTCCTATTGCTTGGGCGCAGTAGTACCGTAGCCATCGTCCTCCGCTTTATTTTGGACCCGCCAATGGTCAATGGGAGCAGATTGCCCAAAGCTTAAGGCTTCCTTTGCGCCCGTCACCGCCCAAGAGACGCTACCATGAATGAGCCTGCAGCCTTTTACACGCATCTCACTCAAACGAGAGTCTCCGCTAGACGAGATGCGGATACAGACCGTGCCACTTTGCCACGAAAGACAGGCGTTTGCAAAGTTTCGAGTCACAGTGCCATTTAGTCAATTTAATCATTAAAAATGCAAATTGCCTCATTTCCCGATACTCTTAGCGGAATTTGCAATGCTTTCAACTGCGCTCAAAACTGTACCAGGGCAATCCATGCAAATGGTACCCACCAAGGTATCCAGGTAGACCCAGACAACACCATCACACCGGGGACAAAGATAGTAGTCCTTGGAAGAGGGCCCAAACCCATGACAGACATACTCCACGCCTTCTCGGTTGATGATACTGCGAATATCGCTGCTGCTCAAGCTGCACGACTCGCGCACACGATAGTATCTTTTGCCACAACTGTCGCGCTTTGGTACCGAGTATTCAGCTCCCATTATGTTACTTCGTTCAGTGAGCTCTTCTTTAGTGAGAGAAGGGCGGCCTAAAAGACAAAAGCGAGAGTTGAGGGTCTTGCAAGTCACTAGTACCTCATGAAGGGGTGGCGAACTTACTTTTTACTTGCCTTCAAGGCAGGACCTCTTGTGTTAGTTTGAGATCCGGGGATTTGTGAGCTTTTCTCATGACAATAGCGATTGTTCCCAAACATACTCTCTAGCTACAGGAGAACGCACCTCACCGGATGGCAAGATACTCTCTAGCCATAGAGGAGAACGCCAAGTAATGGATGGCCCATCTAGCTTTCACAAATACACTTTTGAACCTCCTCCCAAAAGCCAGGGAAGTCCCCACGATACGTCAGGCTTTTACCGTGACTTTCGCAACGTTCGCGACTTTGTGCGATCATATTGCATTTTACTCGCGTAACATAGCGACTTTCAACGACTTGAACCAACTTGTACCGCAAGCTGCGCAAAGTCGCGTGACTTGGCACGACGTTTAGAGCGACTTTCACAACTTTCACGACTTTCCACGATCGCCAATTGGGGGACTTCCAAGGCAAACGCAGATAATAGAATTCAATTTTTAAAAGGCTACTCTGAGTACGACTGTCCACCGTGCTTCCAAGGCAAACGTAGACTACTAGTACTCTCTAGCTAGCTAGGAGAACGCCCCTTACCGGACGGCAAGATATGCATACTCTCTAGAGGAGAACGCCCGGTAACGGATGGCCCATCTATCTTTCATGGATATGCTTTTGAACCTCCTCCCAAAAGCTTCACGCGACGGCACCGCAACAGTATTGACCAAATGGTCTCTGGCTTTACCAATACATTGTTCTAGCTAATGCTTTCATAGGACTAGCTCCCCAACACACTCACCAAACAAAGCAAAAAACGCTGGCTGCCGTAGAAAACATCCCTACTCTGAACCCCCCTTACCTGTACCACCGGTATGGTATGCATACATACTTGTAACCCGCATCGATGCCGGGGTACGGCCTGTGTTGGGGCATCCCGCAATCCACATTTTCGACCTGTGACGATAACCTGTGATTGGTGTCGTCGCCCTTATTTTCTGCTTCTAGCGGTTACCGTTTCTTGCATTCAAATCATTCATTGGCCATCAGAACATGCCTCTCGATTATGTCGCTGGTGAGCTCAATGACGAAAAGTACGGGTGCTCCATACGCGTTGTTCAAGGTTGCTGTGAACATAATCTTGACGCGCTGCCAGGAACGTAACACACGACAAAAATCATTCACGCGTTGCGTCCTCAGCTAGAAGAGCTTTAGAAAAGTGGGAAGATGCCAACAGTGGCTGATACCGAAGAATCAATCAAAGAGCTGAAGCTGTGCAAGTTGGAAATCTCCTGCTATATTCGGCTCAATCCCTTCGGGATTGCCCTCGGTCGCCTTCTCCTTCTGCTGCTCATCATCCATGGTCAAGTGGTTGGTTGTTGGCTATCTCTCAGTCCGGATGGACTGGGGGAGAGCCTCACAACGCTTGAGCTGATTGTCGGTCATGGGAAGAGAGACGGAAGAAAGGGGCGCGACAAAGATGAAGAAGCAAAGGCGGAACGGGACGAGATGTCTGATAGCAATGAGGCAAGGCAGGAAAACGAAGGCTTTGTACATCAACTGTTGTTGGTGTACAAAGACAAGAGAATAAGCACTTGGTGCTTGTTATCTTGTTGGTGCCAGCTCGTCCAATGCCAATGCTGGGTGAGCAGGCACCACCTACAGTTACCTGCCGGTCATGCTGGCTTTAAGGTTGTGGACCCTCATTTGCTCTGCTACTGGTGCTTCACTATGACTGGAGTTAGTCTCTGCCGGAGATACCAGAGCTTCCTGAACGCCGAAACACCC